CCTAACCTCATCCTGGCTCCTGTCAGGTGCTAGCCGCGATGGGAAAGCTGCAGCCGAGGTTGGGGATGGGATGCCAACCACCAGACAGCACCCCCAAAGCAGCAGGGTGGGAGCTGAGGGCAGCATTTGGGTTGGGGAAGGGAGGGAGAACTTACCCTGCGGGCCAGGGAAGCCGTTGTCGGGCCAGCCGTAGGGGTGGCCATTGATGCCCAGCAGCGTGTACTCCTGCTCCATCCCAAACCAGGGGTGGCTGTCCTTAACCAAGTCCATGACTTTCTTGCACGTGTGTCTCAGGTTGGTCTCTGGGAGCAAAGAGGTCCAGGTTAGACCCGTGCCGTGGGCAGGTGCCCGCCACGCTGTGCTCCATCCCACTCAGAGATCGAGACTCCATCACTGCCAAGCACTTCCTTAAGGAAACCGGCGAGCGAATCCCCCCTTCCTGCATCGCTCCCTGCTCACCAGTTTCCTCCTCGCAGAGCTACTCCATCGCCACAGCATCGGGTCACAGGCTAAGACGGTTTAATTAGCTTACTCCCCAAACCACCACGGATGGTCCATGAACATCCTCCTCCTCCTCTTACACACCGAGAGACCAGCAGCCATACCCCAGCCCTGTCCTACAGGCACTCAGCAGATCCGGGAACAGGGACTATACATCTCCCATCACTACTTCACTCCCATTCTCTTTCTACCAGCCTCAGCTTAATTATCCTTATCTTTCTCCAGCTCCATGGTTTTGGTTAGCATCCAGGCTGGCTGGCCCTGCCTTGGCCCTTCATGGTGCTCAGGACAACCGCGTCTTTGCCAGGAAGACACAGATATCAAAGAACCATCCTGATCTGGGACAACGTGCCAGGCAAGGGGAATGAGGGCTTGGACCAAAACAATGGGGGAAAAGAAAGCTGGAAAACTGTTGTCAGTTTTCCCCCTGGCAAACAGGGACAGGCAGCCTCCAGGCTGCAAATTCTGCCTTTAAATCACAATAAAAGACCCCAGAGACGACATACACCCAGAGCATGGAGCTGGAGGCGAGCACTGACGGGAGAAGCAGGGGAAGGCAATTTACCCCCCCCGCAGAGCCCACACAGCCCTTAACGTCCACAGAGACCCACCCTGGGAAGAGCCGAGGGTGCACCCCTCCGGTCTGCGGGGCTCTGGGCTGAGCCCTCTGCCCCGGCTCCAGCCCCAGGAGCTCCAGGGCCAGGGGCTCTCCTTACAAACTGCTCGGACGGAGGAGCTGCCGGGCAGGAATCTCAACCCAGACGCTTCCCCCGCGGCTGAAAGGCATGACGCTGTTTGAAGAGGAACCAGTCCCCTCTTTCACCATCGCTGCCCGCAGCCTCTCCTCTCCCAGGCAGACGTGTGCATCACCCCGCAGATGCCATCTCCCTCCCCCTACACCGTAGCCCCGCTTTACTGGTGACCAACCAGTTCTTTGCTGTCAAATAACCCCTCTGGGAGCCTCTCGGTGTGTCCCTGCAAACCAGCTCCCCTTCTTCTGTCTGGGGCTTTATCAGCCAGCCAGGACAGACGCTCAGACTGCAGACTTCTGCCTGCGGTGATAAGGCCAAGAGCTGGCACGCTCCGGGGCCACTTGCAAAACATCACCCCGAGTCAGCCTGCGCCGCCCCGAGCACCTTCTCCCTACTTATCTGCAGCCGCCCGTCAACAAGGAGAGCAGCCACCAACCCGGCACATTAAAACCCTGCCCGCTTCCAGCTCCAGCTCCCCCACGGTAACCCGGCAGCCCCGGGGGCTGGGTGTGCTCAGGCTCAAAAGCCGGGTGATGCCTTCGGCATGCTCGGGTTGGCGAGCGCCGTGAGCTCCACGTCTCGCTGCTCTTCTCCTCACCCTGCACCGCTAAAACAGGTTCCTGCAAACAACCGCCGCCACCAGCGCTTGAATTTTGGAGCCTCGGGCCAAGCGCTCGGTGCTGAGCTGCTCCCCAGTACCAGTAGGTCAGAGCGAGCCGCCCCTCGGAGAGATGGCCCCCTAAATAACAAATGGGTGACCCTCGGGAGCTGGGGGTGCACGCCGGAGGTGCTCACCTGCGGGTTTCCTGTTGTACTTCAGCACTTCGCAGAGCACCAGCTTGTTGGGGTCCAGGCAAAAAGGGTCCCTGAACATGCAGACGGGCACCAGGAACATGTCGCTGTTGGAGCCCTCTGCCTGTGCCGTGCTGGAGCCATCGAAATTCCACTCGGGGATGTCTGCGAGGCAGGAGGGGACAGAGCGGGGAGCAGGGTTGGGAAAAGGTGTCTCACATACCGATTGTGCCAAGTGCTTGGACCCGGTCTGGAGCACCCAGAGGGCACCGAGCGCCACAGGGTGATGGCCACAGAGGTTTTCTTGCACATCCCCAGAGCCCAGTGGTGCTCCCCATGCATCGGTGTGTTCACCCCCCAGCACCATCGGGGCACAGGCAGGATCAGCCCCGGCAACTTCACCTCCCTCTGCCAAACCCCAGCCGGATGCTGACACGTCTCCGTGCCTGTTTGCCCAGCGGAAAGGGGTGAGGATCTCATCCTCCCCTTCCCACCCAGTGCTAATGACAGAGATTACGGATTAAGTAAACCACAGCGACGCAGGCTGGATATTTATTCTGCCGCTTGATATAACCTCATGAGACAACTGTATCACCGGTGCCACACAACCGGGGAGAGC